TGCGATGCTAGACGGTATTTTCCCCTCTCTTCAACCGCTACTGGTGTATTTTGTGGTGGTTGGTTAGTCAAGTCTGACAATTTCGCCTAGCTTTCCAAACACTCCTGCCAGAGTCCACTCCCGTCCACCACCTTGGCCTTTTTAGAGAAAAGGCCACATTGCAGCCGGTAGAGTACTACAATAACCTCCCAACACGCGCCACTTCCTCCAAGGACGAGAAGGACACCCCGTGTGATATCGCCATTGTTCTCGATCCGGTCATCGCTACGGGGGGTACCGCTGAGGCTGCTATTCAAACGTTGAAGGAATGGGGGGTTCCTAAGGTTCCGCCCCGCTCTCCTTTCCACCCCACAACTTACTAATGCATTGCGCTATGGATGACACGATAGATCCTTGTTGTTAGCATTCTCGGCAGCGAAGAGGGCGTTATCCGTGCCGCTAGCGAGTATAACGGCGAGGGCATCGATGTAGTTGTCGGAGCCATCGATAAGGAACTTGGCGGGGATAATGGAGGGATGATTGTTCCTGGGTATGATATGAACCCCCCCTGGTATACCCGTTCATACTAACTCACTACTTCTTGCGCGCTTAGTGTCGGCGACATTGGCGATCGCCTATTCCTTGCCATTGGCAAATAATTTACGAATTAATTAATACCCACCCTTCATCCATTCTGCCATCCTAACTTGGTAGTCTGTTTTTTCTTTCTTTCTCTCAGTTTTTTTCAGTTTTGCACTTGCCCTGGAGTTGAAAATTCAAGTTTGAGAAAAGGGAAAAAAAATTAATTGGGTTGTGAGGTTCTCTTCTTTCTCTTCTTGCTCGTCTTGTTTATTTTTTTTTTCTTGCGTTTTGTTTCGTGTTGATGTGCGAAATGTGATTACGTACGATATGCTACGATACAGTATGAGAATATTGCATTACGGTACTTACAGTGTTATGTTTATCTATCATAATAGATAGTTTTTTTTTTTTTTGCACTTCACGAGTGATTGTTCGTGATATTTTGCTGTTATGAGCGCAGGGCGGGGTATCCTGGTAAGTAGAGGAAGTGAAAGCATGGGTTTTCCGGTTGGACCAGGGGTCTGTAGGGAAAGAAATGTCGGGTGTGGGAGTGTGTTTATGTGCTTGGTGGTACAGCCGGTCGGGTTGTACGACGTTAGAAGGGTACATTAGAGACGGAAGTTCCAGCGTGATTATCCAGCGCAGTATTTTATCTTTGATATTTTTCCGCTTGATTAATTTTAGAGAGTGCAGTAATGTGTATACCATGTCAATGAGCTGTACTGTACTTCTTAGATCACAGAGCCCTAACTTATACTCCAGAATCCCCCCTCTTGCAAAAACAATCCTGGCCGGAATACCTTGACAAGTCGCAGTACTCGCCTTCCGCTCGGTTCTGTCCAGAGTCTTTTTGCATGATATGCACTGCTTTATTCTGGAGGATGGTCAATTTGACATTCCAAACCTCATGAGTAGAGTAACATAGGGAGGGGGATTGCCGTTGAAAACCCCTACAGGGGAAGAATTGATGGTGGAAGGTGCGCTCAGGCTCTGTCAGCGTGCGGATACGGCACGGTAGATTGATGGACAGAGCAGATGAACGGGAGGTCTGGGCCTGCTTGTTGACTTGACAAGTTTTGGGCCAAGTAATGGTAGAAATAGAGTTTAGCAAGGAGAAGAGAAGAGGTATTCTCGAGCGGCCTGATGTTCTTTTGTGAAAGAGGGGCATGGCTGGAAGGTTTGGCATTTACCCCTGAGGTGGGTAAACCAGTCTCACGTCGAAAGTCTCCCCAGAGAACCACTTTTCCCCAACTTACTACTTTAGTTTTGGGCGGGCTTAGTGCGCTGATATTGTGGGATTACGTCCATCAACGCAGTCGAAATGGAAATTTTGAGAGAAAGTGTTGATTCCCCTGGCACTCTCGGGTAGTTCAAGTATTTGGCTTTGAAGAACATAACACTGATCCTACGAATCAAAATGGTAAATTTAGGATTGTGGGAATATGGTATTATGTTGCGCAAATTCTAGTCATGAATAAGTTTGTGTTTGGCCTCACGGTGCTTAGAGCGCCTAGAAAATGAAATGCATGAATATCTTGTTTGTTGGTTGGGCCGCGAGTCGGCTTTCTGTCCGATCATGTACTATCACTCGTGACAGTTCACCTCCGAATACACCATCTTTGAAAAAGCCGTGACGACCATTCTGAAGTTCGAAGCATGAGGGATTGAATAATCGTACTCTCGAGATGCTCCGGGTATTCCCCCTTGTCGCTTCTCCCTTTGTCCTACGGTATGTACTGGCGTGTGTTTTACGCTTCATACATATATGCATGCATACCTTCTCTTCCATGCCACGAAATCGTTGTGAAGTTGTTAAGGGGATCATGTCCCATCACTCGAGGTTTTGAATAAGTCCGTCACAGGATGCCTCCGGTATATACGGTACATTCGCAACGGACTATCATAGGTCTGGGATATCGTGGGATGGTAAATTATGAAGGTAGTCGGGACGTGTAGCGTTGGGTGCTTGTACTACCGCATGGGGACCGGGGCTCGCTCGCGGGATGTTGCTGGTCTATTGTTTGTCCGGTGTCTACCGCAAGAACTGGAATAATTGAACCTCATGCTAGGACGTTGGAGTTGCCTCTCCTAGTAAGGTCTGTTGTGTTTTTCTTTTTTATTTGTCTCAGCGGAAGGCTGAAAGTCAGTTTTTTGGGGGCGATTCCCCCCCTTATCCAAAGAGGGGAATTCTGGACTTCTTAGCGTAGGTTCAATTATTCCAGTTCTTACGGTATTGGGTAGCACGGGTGGTGGAGTTTGGGGAGGAGTAGAGGAGGAGGAGGAGGTGGTGGTGGTGGTGGTGGCGGCGGGTAAAGTTAGTGTCGTGGGTGCTTTTGTTGGTTTGTTTCTTTGTTTATCGGTTTCTTTGATAGAGATAAATACCGGTACTACTATAACTTGACGTATCCGATATCACCACCGTGCATATATCCCGCTAGGGGCCTCACTTCTTTGTCGTGGCATCGGGATATATACACCCCATCTAAGGAAAGATGACATCATCCAACTTTCCATCCAACTTATAATTCAGGAGCTCAAATACTAATGCTGCCCATCTTCTATCATAATCCCAGTCCAATCCAATACCCTTATGGCCTGTAATCGCTCTCCTCCACCCCTCCCCTTTGTTCTGGAACATTGTATGTTACCCAGACAGAACTAGTCCAACCATCCCACCCGATACCCTAGAGAAAAAGGTAGATATCGAGTATACTTCCATGATGGAACCTTAGGTATATAAGGTGACCCCCCCTCGGTTTCTTCCTTTCTTCATTCATTCCTCGAACATCACCACCACCACATCATCCATCACCTGCCACTATCACTCCTACCTCTACGTCCACAGCCACTGCCATCAAGGGTGGGATCGCACCGCCTCAGATTGCTTGTGAACATATTATTTTACTCTGAAGTTGTCTCATCTTTCTTTCCCTCTTCAGTCTTTCTTGATCCTGCAATAACTGTATTCAGAATACCTCTGTTATTCTCCTTCTTCAAGTTTCCCCATTGAGGAAAATAAAAAATAAAAACAAAGGTATGTAATAAAACATATCGTTCTCACTTCCCCACTCTCATTGGTAAGTATGAAGGTGATTTCAACTTGAATTGACATGATGATATCTTTCTCAATCTGACGCATCCCATCTGATACTTCCTGTTCATGCAAGCAAGAGTTGAAGATGGGGTGTGGTAATGAAGTTACCTGTAATCTGATCGGTTTTTGTTTTTGGTTGAAGTTGAGGTTGGTGATGGAGTGGGAGATTAATGGATTTTGAACTTGAACGATAAGGCTGAGTTGTTGGGTGTTTGGGGAGTGTAGGTTTGAGAGACTTGAGAATAATTTGAAGTTTGGTTTGGTGGATGGGGGGTAGTTTGGAGGATTTTATTTTTGTTTTGTCTCTGAAAGTGAGGGAGATGGGGAAAAAAAAAGTAATTGTATGTATTCAATATTTCTCTATCGCACTTGAAGGTACATTTTCTAGCAAGTTATGCTGTGGTCAAGGCAGCAGATCTAGACTACAATGAACTACTAGTACACAGTCAAGCACCCTCGAAGCACTTTGTCTGATGGATTCTTATGTTTTTTTCTTTTTAAGAGATTGAGGATACCATGAAGTTTAACGCACCATCCTTCGCCATTCTCATCTTACCCTTTGCATATGAAAAACATAGAGATTATGTACTTAATTAATAACAGCCAACTGTTTTTATATGAAAAAAACAGATTTTAAGATTTTTTATTGAGCAAGGAACATGAGAGTTTAACAGTTGTCAGATATATTTTTTTTTAAAAAAAAGAGCAGAGAATTGCACTATGCAGTGCTTTTCCTATCTTTGATACTACTAGTCTATTATGTACTGCACTATTTGTCAAGAAGTGCGATCCGATGCCCCAATAGACTACCTAATCAAACCATTTTCTTCATTGTTAAAAAAAAAGTAGGAATCTATCGGTGCATTATTGGGGGTCCATCGAGCACGAGGTACAAAAGGTTCAATTTATTAGCAACACCCTCGAGATCTCGATGAGCCTGAGCTTCTGCTAGTGCCCTGTGCTGTCCTGTTGGTACGGGATTACGACATTATAATACCCCAATGTTACCTACTATTCACCATAGGAATACCTGCCCAGATCCTATCGTACTCTCAAGCAAACATATATTGTACCTTTATTTATCACTGATACTCCAGCTATGATTACTTTTTTTTAAAAAATAAAAAAAGCGGGAAACTATGGTCCTCAATCAGTAAACAATGTATATAATTTACCTTCTCACAAGAATATTTATTTACGCATCTACCCCGATAAAGCATCCAAAGCTAGTGTCAAATAGTATTATCATTAGTTTTTCTTACCTCGAGATAATTATAATAAAAATAATGCAAAAATCCATGCGTGCGGTATAAGGATTAGTTCTCACGTCTATATTTTATGAAATTCCTAGCTGGCCCAGTGGTTAAGTCTCACGCTTGCTGTGCATTAGCGGGAGCCAAGGGGTTCGATCCTCCCTGCTTGCAGGGTGGAGTCGTTCCTTATTCCGTCATGTGGGAGAGGTCTTGACCTGCCCTATGGAACTTGGAGGTAGGGGGGTTCTGTCCCATGGGTGTTTCGACTCTGGATCTCAAGGGTCGCAACCTGAAGATTCGCGTTCGGCGGTTAAAAAATGTGACATGTTTGGGGATATCCTGAAATGCAATTACTTTTTCTCAATCTTGTCTACTACCATATTTAATAAAGTCCTGTGTGGAGCAAAGTACAAGTACATCTAGTATACCTCCTACCTCTCGGGGCCAGAAGGGGGGGGTTAAAGGAAGCTCTCCACTTCCAGAGCAATATACTCAGTTGGGCAGCTTGCTATTTCTATCAGGTCATCAGAGCTTAATTACATTGCGAGTGATGAGAAGTGATGTGATGTGGCGGAGGTCGTCAAAAGGAGGATGTGAATTTTCAGACCTCTCTTGTTTGCTCCTAACCGGATGGCATTTTGGTAGTGATTATTCCACGATAGCAAGCCTATAATAATCTAAGGAATACTACCAGTAGTCCAGTCGGCGAGTGCATACTGTATATTTGTTCCGAGTATGCTTTCTTGCTGCCTGCACTATCTCGGGAAAGACACGCGCCGAATCTCTCTGAAGAAAGGACCTTGGTTCTGGAGATATCATACCAAAAACGCCAAACCCCTTTAACCTCCAAACAAGGGCAGCAAGCACCCACCACATAGACAAACCCCTGGAGCACAACCTGATGCTATACCGTGAACCTAAATCCAGTTCCAGCCCACACACAGGCACCGATCAACGTCTAAACCCAACGACTGAGAGAAAAAAAGAAAAAAAGAAAAGACTTGAAGAGTTGTGTTTGTGTGCGGTTGTGGACGAGAAAGGTGGGTCCCTGCGCGGAAGTTCTTACCTACCCCTCACGGAGAGGCCGGGAGGTGTTTACAAGCTCTGCAGAGAGGGAATAATAGGACTCTAAACTCACAACAGAAATTGGGTAATTATTCTGTGATAGAAAAAAAAAATGTAGAGGAGTTTCTAATCGGGCGATGGTAGCCGGAGGGTGTTGTCATGGGCTATCACTCGGTGAGAAATTTCCAAAGCCTGAAGAAATAATCAAATAAAGTTCGAAGAAATGAATAAATAAATAAAGTTTCGGATCCGTGAGAATGTTCAAGTAATAGAACGTTACTTCGATTTTCCCTTTTCTAGGATTGCAGGTAAACTACTATCCTATATACTAACCATTCCCAGCCTCATAGATATCTATTCCAGCCACTCCATCCCATTCCAGTTGTTCCGCTCCGTTCCATTTATTCTGTTCCTTGCCATTCCATCTATTCGGAGGTTATTGGGAAGCCCAACGACTATTCCTTACAACGTTGTTGGGCTTCCCAATAACCTCCGAATAGATGGAATGGCAAGGAATGGAGTGGAGTGGAGTGGAATGTTGGTGATGGAGTGGGAGATGTATGGATTTTGAACTTGAACGATAAGGCTGAGTTGTTGGGTGTTTGGGGAGTGTAGGTTTGAAAGACTCGAGAAGAACTTGAAATTTTATTTGGTGATTGGAGGACAGTTTGAAGGTTTTTATTTTTATTTTGTCTTTGAAAGTGAGGGGGATGGGGAGCAAAGAAAAAGGTAATTGTATATATTCAACATTTCTATCCCAGTTGAAGGTACATTTTCTAGCAAGCTATGCTGTGGTCAAGGCTGCAGATCTAGACTACAATGAACTATCATACTAATATATTGGCAAACACCGTTAAAGCATTTTATCTGATGGACTCTTATGTTTTTTTTGTTTTTTTTTTAAGAGATTGAGGATAGGATGCCATAAAGTTTAACACACCATTCTGAGCCATTCTTATCTTACCCTTTGCATATGAAAAGCAAAGAGATTATGTACTTGATTAATAACAGCCAACTGTTTTATATGAAACACTAGATTTTAAGATATTTCATTGAGCAAGAAACATGTGAGTTTGGCAGTTATCAGATATGATTATTATTATTTTTGAAAGAACAGAAGAATTGTACTGTACAGTGCTTTTCCTACCCATGATACTACTAGTCTATTATGTACTGTACTATTATCAAGAAGTGCGATCCGACGGCCTGATAGACTATTTAATCAGACCATTTTCCTTGTCAAAAAAAAAGCAGGAATCCATCGGTCCTTTATTGGAGGTCTATCGAGCACGAGGTACAAAAGGTTCAATTTATTAGCAACACCCTCGAGATCTCGATGAGCCTGAGCTTCTGCTAGTGCCCTGTGCTGTCCTGTTGGTACGGAATTACGACATTATAATACCCCAATGTTACCTACTATTCACCATAGGAATACCTGCCCAGATCCTATCGTACTCTCAAGCAAACATATATTGTACCTTTATTTATCACTGATACTCCAGCTATGATTACTTTTTTTAAAATAAAAAAAAAAAGCGGGAAACTATGGTCCTCAATCAGTAAACAATGTATATAATTTACCTTCTCACAAGAATATTTATTTACGCATCTACCCCGATAAAGCATCCAAAGCTGGTGTCAAATAGTATTATCATATTAGTTTTCCTTACCTCGAGATAATAAAAAAAATAATGCAAAAATCCATGCGTGCGGTATAAGGATTAGTTCTCACGTCTATATTTTATGAAATTCCTAGCTGGCCCAGTGGTTAAGTCTCACGCTTGCTGTGCATTAGCGGGAGCCAAGGGGTTCGATCCTCCCTGCTTGCAGGGGGGAGTCGTTCCTTATTCCATCATGTGGGACAGGTCTTGACCTGCCCTATGGAACTTGGAGGTAGGGGGGTTCTGTCCCATGGGTGTTTTCGACTCTGGATCTCAAGGGTCGCAACCTGAAGATTCGCGTTCGGCGGTTAAAAAAACTTTTTTTCTTATTCCTTAATAAAAAGGAAGAAAGAGTTAAAGAGGGGGAAATATTTGCTTTGACTCTCCTTTGGTTGGGTTTGGGGAATGCAGGTGTAGATACTGAATGCTAGGCTGTCATGATCTTTCATATTGCAAGCATATTCCGGTCCCGGCCAATGGCTTCATCCAAAAAAAAAAAACTTTTCTTTGATGTGACATGTTTGGGAATATCCTGAAATGTAATTACTTTTTCTCAATCTTGTCTACTACCATATTTAATAAAGTCCTGTGTGGGGCAAAGTACAAGTACATCTAGTATACCTCCTACCTCTCGGGGCCAGAAGGGGGGGTTAAAGGAAGCTCTCCACTTTCAGAGCAATGTACTCAGTTGGGCAGCTTGCTATTTCTATCAGGTCGTCAGAGCTTAATTACATTACGAGTGATGAGAAGTGATGTGATGTAGCGGAGGCCGTCAAAGGGAGGATGTGAGTTTTCAGACCTCTCTTGTTTGCTCCTAACCGGATGGCATTTTGGTAGTGATTATTCCACGATAGCAAGCCTATAATAGGCTAAGGAATACTACCAGTAGTCTAGTCGGCGAGTGCATACTGTATGTTTGTTCATTGAGTATGCTTTCTTGCTGCCTGTACCATCTCGGGAAAGACACACGCCGAGTCTCTCTGAAGAAGAAAGGACCTTGGTTCTGGGGATTTCATACCAAAAACACCAAGCCCCTTTAACCTCCAAACAAGGCTAGCAAGCACCTACCACATAGGCAAAACCCCTGGAGCACAACCTGATCCTATACCGTGAACCTAAATCCAGTTCCAGCCCACACACAGGCACCGACCAACGCCTAAACCCAAAGACTGAGAGAAAAAAAGAAAAAAAGAAAAGACTTGAAAAGTTGTGTTTGTGTGCGGTTGTGGACGAGAAAGGTGGGTGTTTGTGCGGAAGTTCTTACCTACCCCCCGGAGCGGCCAAAAGATATTGACAAGCTCTGTACAGAGGGGATGGTGGGGGCCCTGAGCTCACAACAGAAATTGGGTAATTATTCTATGATAGAAAAAAAAAAATGTAGAGGAATTTCTAATCAAGGCGATGGCAGCCTGAGCGTGCTGTCATGGATTATCACTCGCTGAGAAATTTCCAATAGGTTTGGAAAATTCACCGAACCCGGGCAAAACACACCAAAATTGGGCACTTTTCAAGACACCACCACCCAATTATCCTCTACGGAATGATACAGAAAAAAATGTAATAAATTCCCTAGCACATAAAAACTCACGATAAAAAATTTGGAACCTTTCGCGCACTCCTGCAGAGTAGTGAAGTGTGAGATGTGCCCGACTCGAAGGTGCCTGCCAAGCCAGGCTGTTTTGTATGTGAAAGATATATTGCAACAGACCTCACCGACTTTGAATGCACCTTGTTCTATATACATGGCAGGTAAAAATAGGGAAATAATATATAGCGTATTTCAGAGGCCCCAGCACCTCGTAAGCCTATTTTGAAGTTAATTTCATGGTAATCTGTTGAGATCAGGAGACCCAAAAAACCCCAATTTTGGAGTGTTTTGCCCTGAGTTCGGTGAATTTTCCAAACCTATTGTTTCCAACGCCCGTTGATATGAAGATTTCTTTATACCAAAATATCTAGTTTGGGTCCTTAGCCATATCCTACTTAAGACTAGAACAGTTCTTATACTTTTTCTTCCTGTCGTTAACCCCCCTCTCGTATGTTTCTTTCATTCCTCGGTCCAGCACTCCCTTTCATTATTAATTCCGAGTGCCAAAGTCATGCGTATAGTACTTCAAAGACTGTATATCATGTTCACATATATCACACCAGGATAACTTCCTTCCCGCTGTTAACCATCTTTGTATCGAATAAGTCTTTACCAGACAATTTACCAGGGACCATTCCGTTAGGAGCTATCCCATATTGAACCCAACTCTCTTCACTCACCTCCCGATCAGAATCAACCTCCTAGAATTCCGCTCTCAGGCTTTCTTTGTAATTCGCCCACCCACACAGGCGGTACACTGCACCATCTCAATTCATTTATTATAGGCGTAGTCTAACCCCCTCAAGTTATTTCACTCCCCTCCTCGACCAGAACAGACCTCCCGCCCGTAGACATATA